AAGCGCTTTCCCCAGCGGGCTGCGCGCGCGGCCTCGGGAAGCGCCCTGGGGCCGGGCGCGGGTCCACGAGGAGCATGTCCACTGAGCGGCCGGGCAGCACCACCGAGCCCGGGCGGGGCGCCTGGAGGGAAGCCGGCGGCCGCTCTGGCGACAGACACTACCTTTCCAGATGGTTGGTGGCAGCGCCGTGCGGATCCAGACGCAACGCAAAGGGCTCCGGCCCAGCCGCACAAAGCCTGGCAGCCGCCCCGGTGGCCTCCGTGGCGCTGCGGGAGCCAGCTCCGCTATGGGGCGCTGGCCCACCGGCCACCCCGTCGTGGAGGAAGCCCGAAGTGTGGAGGGCCGCGGCCTGCAGGCCAGCCCACCCTCGTGCACCCAGAGGTGCCCCAAGGCCCCAGCGCTCCCATCATGGCACATGCCTTGGAGCTGTGACTGGTCCAGGTGTCATGGACGCCGCCCCCACTCCTGACCCTGGACCACCAGTCCCATCAATAACAAGGAGAAGCGCGCTGGGACGGGAGGGCGGCGCTGAGCAGCCAGGCTGGGATTAAACCGGACACGTGGGCTCGGGGCCTCTGGGCCTGGGGGTTCGCGGCTGGTCGTTTTGGCTCTCGATGGGCTTTCAGCGTGCGGGTGGAGTCCAGGTCAGCAGAACCGGTAGGACATCCTAGTTAACCCGTGTTTCTGTCCCTCTTTCCCTGGGTTATTCCTTTACCTTTCTCCTTATAAATAAATCCATTATTTAACCTTTTTGAGTGTGTCCACAATACGATTGAATCGTAAGTGCGCGGGTGAAGACCCACAGGCAACCCAATTCACACTGGGGTGCCCTGTAACAGATTCAGGCTCCAGGGTAGCAGGCGTGGGTGTCACTTTGGTGTCAGCTGCTCTTCTCCAAGCAGCCAGCCCGTCGGCACGGTCGTTTCCAGATGAGGAGACCGAGGGCCAGAAGGTCACTGCCAGCTGGCAGGGTCTGGTGCCCAGGTGCCCTCCCTCGTGACTCCCGCGCTGAGGGCCAAGCGCTGGTGCACCCAGGGGATCGCAGGCCCGGCCGCGCCCACCCCGCCCCCGCAGGCTGTCCAGTTACAGTAAAACAGAACCTGCTTTTCAACATACGCCCCTCGTGGCACCTCTCTGGCCTCCAGTCTGCCGGCACTCGGGGTCACCACGATGTCTGCGCTGCTGCGGCCCAAAGCCAGCACCTGTTCAGAGGTGCGGCTGCGGCATCCTCGCCGCCTGCACACAGCCGGCTCCTGAGAACGGCCGGGCGCCGGCTGCGCAGCGCCTGGCTCCCCAACACCTCAGGGCCCGGGCGCCGCGGAGGGAGCACCCACGCTGTCTACAGCCGCCCCTCCCCAGTGCGGAAATGGCCGCTTCTATTTGAAGCCACGGTGGGGGCCCACCAACACCCCTCCCCTCCTCACCAGTGGAGACCGGTAGGGAGCGCCCTGGCGGCCAGGTGCTG